AAGTAGCAGCACTGCCCAAGAACCCAATGGCTTCCCAGCTGACACTTCTGCCAACTCCTCTCTCCTTCTGGAGTTCCAAGGTGAGTGTGGCTGAGCCCCCTTCAGGCTGGGGAAGTAGTGTAAAGCTTATGAAACCTGGGATGTTGCTGGCTCACGTATGCCACGTGTGTGGGGAAGAGCATCGCGTGTCTTCAGTGCAGGGTTATGTTGATCTATTTTGGTCTGTCCCTGCTGAAACTGTTCATTTTTGCTGTCAGAAAGAATTGTAATTGGCTGTTTCTGGGATCTTCCTGTAGGAAGCTTCATGGGGAACTGGAGGAGTGAGGGTTCCTATTCCCACTTTGCAGTCCCTGCTGGGGTAAGGCTGATAGCTGCCTGCAGCTGAGCCCGCTGCTTCCAGCAGTGACTTGCATGGACCTTAGGATGAAAAAGCAGGGGGACTCCTTGACCTTGCTCTTGATCCCAGAGCACTGCTGCCAGCAGGCTGGGCTCTGTGGTGGAGCCGAACAAGGCTCATGCAGCACGTGGACTTGCTGTATGTGCCTGTCCCCGCCCTCTCCACTCAGCTCTCAGTGCAGCCGAGGAAAATCGGGGAATGTGTTGGCACTTGCTGTGTATGTGGTGAGAAGGTTAGCACTGCAGTTTGGGACCACTCAGCCTGGAAAAGATGTGTGCCAGGATTGCCTCCCTGTCCAGAGGCAGGTTCTGAGTGCGGTTCCTGATGTTAGATTGTTGGCTCGCAAGCAGAAGAGGTACAAAACCCTGGTACACAGACAAGAGGTCTCCTGTCCTCAAATGCCTGGGACTCTTGCAAGCTGCAGACATGAGATTTGGCAGCGCGGTGCTTTGTGACACCCTTCTGCATTCTGCTTGTTCTTTCTGAAAAAGCACGCAGGGTCGCGTGCTGCCTGCTCAGTCATTCCCCAGGCAGAAGCTCTCCCGTGAGCGATTGTGTATAATGCCAGTTGTGACCCAGTGGGAGAGTCCTGTGCCCGGCAGCCTTCAGGCTGATGGGTGACAGTGAATCTCCTGTACTCGAATGCTGCTGACTCTGCTCTCTTCCCTAACACCCCAGCTCTCAGTGCCGCTCTTGGCTGCCTGTGCCCCTGGGTCAAGGTGCTCTTCTTCACTAGGTGCTGTTTCTGCAGATGAGAACAGCAACCAGAGCTCCCTCTCAGATGTCTACCAGCTCAAGGTGGACAGCAGTCCCAACTCCAGCCCCAGCCCCCAGCAGAGCGAGTCCATGAGTCCTGCCCACACGTCTGACTTCCGCACGGATGACTCGCAGCCACCCACACTGGGTCAGGAGACACTGGAAGGTGGGTTCTGGGCTAGGCAGGGAGGAGGTGGATGGCTGGGCCCAGGGGAGCCCCTGCTGAAGCTGTTGCTTGTCCCATGGGTGACTGAGGCACTGCTGGGCCGTGGAGACTCCCACCCTCTGCTGGAGGTCTCTCCTGGCTCAGCTCTGAGCCGGGTACTGCCATGGTCCTGCGTCGGCAGTTTCGTTAACCCTTCTGTTCTCCCCAGAGCCCTCCCTGCCTTCCTCGGAAGTTGCAGACGAGCCTCCAACTCTCACAAAGGAAGAGCCAGTCCCCCTTGAGACTCAGGTAAGGGAAGGGGGATTGAAACCACGTCTAAATGCGCATGGGCCCAGCTTGGCCCTTTCACCCTCGGTGCTGCCCCTTGTAGCAGAAGCGTCTTGATGGGTGGACTTGCTCTGCAGCCTCAAAGAGCCTTTCAGAAGCTCCCCAAACCTCCTGGCTTCCAAGCTGTCCCCTGGGTCAGTTCAGGTATGAAGCAAGGATGCGGAGGTGGAGTAAAACGATGATTTTAGCTGACGCTGGGGCTTCAGCGGATTCCCACTCCTGGGGCCCTGGGGCTTCCTCAGAGGTGAAAGCCGAGGGCGTCCCCACAGCGTGACGCAGCCTTGCCTAGGTCTGTGTGGCTTAGTGGGCACGCTGAGCTCCTGTCACTGCCTGTGACCTCTGGCTCTTGCAGGTAACTGAAGAGGAGGACTCCGGTGCACCGCCTCTGAAGAGATTTTGTGCCGATCAGAACTCTGTGTGCCACACGGCTTCAGAGAGCTAGCCTGCCAGGCCCTGGGGAGAGCG